CCTGGATCCTTCCCCCCCCCCCCCCCCCCCCTAAACGACCCCTTCCCACCTCCACAGGTCCTGCTGCAGGGAAAAACTGACCACAAGGCCCGGCTCTCACGTTGGTATAAGTGATCAGAGAGAAACCAGACTAAGTGAGCCCTGGCAACGAAAAGTCGGGAAAGGTTATTTTTCTGGACCCCTGTTTCCTGTGACTTGTTGAAGAGAAATATTACCCCGCTCCTACGGCTGTTCTCCCAGAGCAATAGAAGAGCGTGAAGTTATGAAATTGAGGGCACCTTCACTGAGCAATCGATTAGCAGCCGAGAGAGCTTGTGAATTGGCTGTCTGGACATTTCCAGTAATAAATTGTGAAATAGTCCATGAATAAGTAGTTGGCGGAGTTCAGAATTACCCCCTAGGAAATGTTGCAGGTCTAGAGACACATTACTAAGGCGAGCACCATTTTAATGCTCTGGGCTTTGGCTGTTAAATATGTATGCCATCCGCAAAGCACTTCCCGAAATTAATGGCATTTTACAGCTGCTCCGAAGGCAGCGTATTTATATGGAGATGTATAGATTCTGGGGCTGTGGTGGCTTCACAAATGAAGTGCTAATTTTAGAGAATAGGCCCAGGGAGGGGCGTGGAGGGAGGGTCAGGAAGTGAGCTATCTCGGGGACCTTTTCCGAAATGGTTTTCGGCTGCCAGCTATGATTTTTAACCTTTGCTGACCTTGGGCATGGTCTCTAGGCTGGAAAGGGCACTGCAGTAATGGACTACCCGGCACACAGAGAGAAGGTAATGATATTGATATAAATAAATAAATAAGTCATATTGGCAGCTTACATTTGCCAGGCACCGTCGTAAGTGCTTTTCGCAGATTGACTCGTTTATCCTCACAACGACCCTGTCTGGTAGGTTCCATTATTATCCCCATTTTACAGAAGGAGGTAAATTGTGCCCAGGATTCAGTGTGTGGTTGGTGATCCCCCTGGGGGAGATATTACCTTCTCTCCAGTTCTTTCCTTGAGCTAAGATCAGGGCACCGCCAGGTACAGTGGTGCACGTTGTTCACTGCACAAGAATGTCCAAGCAAAAGGAGAGGTTAGGACTGAAACTCTCACTCACTAGGCCCCCTGCCAGGGTTCGGGCAGCACCTTCCCAGAGACGGATTTGCACAATGGCAATGTGTGCCCAAACCAAAGCCCCCCTTCTCTCCAAGTAGCCCCAGAACCTTCCCCGCCCCCACCTGGGCTCTCTTCTCCGACCTTGTGAGCTGCCTACTTGGTTGTAGGGTGGGATAGGAGGCACACAGATTCAGAGATTCAGCATGGAGTCAAGCTGAAAGGACCCAGTGTTCACCCAGTTAGGCTATGAGGTGGTTTTCTCAGAATCCCTGGAGAGGCGGGAACCCTTTGGGGCTTCCCACGCTCCCCCCATCCTTTCTGTGAGGCATCCCGAAGGACTGTTGAAAATTTAGAGTAAATGAGTCCTGGGGTGGGGTTTTTGAAAGGTAGCAGTGCTGGGGGAACAGGGCCAGAGAATTGGGGCCACCTGAACCCACGGGAGCCCGCTAAGAGGCTGCTGGTGGGTTCCTGCTTCTGAGACTCTCCGCTGAGGGTGTCCTCTGGGGACTTCATTGCTCACCCTGCCCCACGGGCCCACAGTGTCAAAGGAATAGCCACTCTGGTTGACAAAATGGTAAGACACCTCCATAATCGGGCGTGTGCCTTCTCGTGGGCATGTGCACATGGGATTGCCAGGACACGTGCCCTCTGTCAGCTACTGTGTCACCTGTCAGCTAAAGACCTGAGGCATTCTGACATGGGGGTGGGGATGCTGAGGTGGCTTTAGGGAAGATTAAGGCCCAACAAGAGGCCACGGGCATGAAGGACTGGAGCTAGCCTCTATCAGACTGCAGTTCAGTTCCTGCAGTAAGTTTTGAGCAACTTACTGACCTTCCCTGAGCCTCAGTTTTCCTCATCTATTGAATGGGGATAATGTCACCTGTCTTGCAAGCCTGTGAGGCCTGCCTCAAACAACCCTTGAGAGACTTTAAGGCCGTGTCGGGTGCATAGTAGGAGCTCAGTAAACGTTGAGTTTGCTGAGAGGTGGCTTGTCTCCCGCAGCCTGGTGACAGGGGTTTGTCAGTGCAGCTGGGTGGATGCAGCCAGTGGAAACACAGACTTGTGTGTTGACCCAGGTTCCGGACAGTGCTGTGCGCCTGGATTTTGCCACAGCAGAGCCCACGGTTCCTCATTTCCTGGACCTCAGACTGGACAAGGTCAATCAATGGCTACTTTCCACTGTCTGTCCTGTCTCTTCGAGTTCTCTGCAGGGCGGCGAGGGGTTTGTTTCTTAAATAAGAATTGTGCCCTATTCTAAGCCCCTTGAGGCTCCCCATCGCCTGGCAGGGAGGGAGCCTGACAAGGGATAGGGGGCCCTGTGCCCTACAAGCTACCCTCCGGGGACCCCGTGCCCACCAGGGAGAGGCACCCTTGTGGCTCCGCGCCTCTGGCACAGTGAGGCGGTTAAGAGCTTACACTCTGGGGCCACACAAGCCTGAGTTCATATCCTCTTCATGCTAGGAGGGCGAGCTCACACCAGTCACTTGTCCTCGTGAGCTCCCTTACTACATCTGTAAAATGGGGTTGTGGGTCCCCACCCCTGAAAGGGTGAGGTCAAGGTGGGAGGAGGCAATGCCAGCCGCTGTCTGTCGAGCACGCCCTTGCTGGGCTGCGTGCTAGGCTCTCCACAGCAAATCCTAATGCTGGAGACTGAGATCCTCTGAAGGAGAGAGAGGTATGGGGGGGGGGGGGGGGCGTGAGAAGGTATTTGGGGAAGAAGTCGGAGGATACTGGACGGAGAGCCTTGTGCCGCAGGGTGAGCAGACAACAGAATCCCCTGGAGGGGAGCGTCTTAAAATAGATTCCTGGGCTCCACCCCAGAGCTTCTGGCCCGGTGGCCTGGGTGGAGCCCGAGAGTGTGCATCTCTGAGGACTTCCTGGGTGCTGCTGGTTGGGGACCATTCTTTGAGAACCGCTGGCCTTCATGGATGGTGCAGCAGAGAGTCTGGGATTCAGAATCAGATCGTCTTGTGTCCAAATGCCTGTTCCACCACCTACTAGCTCTGTGACCAGGGGACAATTAGTCCACCTCGAGCCAGGGACTGCTAGAAGGTGCCTATTTGTGAGGCACAGTGTTGGCCTGACTTAACAGGCCATTCTCCTAAGCCCCCTGGCCCGCCCACAAGGCTTCTTAGACGCACAAGCCGAAGTTCCAGCCTGAGCTCTCCCCCCAACCCACTCAGCCTTGGTCAGCCCCTCTCCCATCTGTCCCTGCAGGAGGAGCCCTTTGTCATGTTCCGGAAGTCCGACCGGACGCTGTTCGGGAATGACCGCTTCGAGGGCTACTGCATCGACCTGCTGAAGGAGCTGGCCCACATCCTCGGCTTCTCCTACGAGATCCGGCTGGTGGAGGACGGGAAGTACGGGGCACAGGACGACAAGGGCCAGTGGAACGGCATGATCAAGGAGCTCATCGACCATGTAAGCGGGAGGGCACCCCCTGGGAGGCTTGGCCAAGTCCATACACATCAGGGTGGGGCATCCTGGCAGGTGGGGGCTCCGGGGAGCAGGAAAGATGGAGACAAAGGTTGTGACCTTGGGGAGGACCCAACTGCCTTGGGCCTGCCTTGCTCATGCTCCCCGGGTCCCAGACGTTGCCCTGCACCAATGTATTGCCTCCCATCTGACCGAGCCTTCCCCACTTTGGTGACTTTGGTGAGCTCCCTCTGGAGGGATGCCTCAGCTCCCCACTGCCTCCTGCTCCCCTAAGAGTGACCAGAGGATGCCCCAGCCATGTAGGCAAGGTGCCCATGCAAGACACTTTCCCACACTCTAGGGCACGGAGTTAGATTCATCGGTGCCTGAACAGCTTTGCGCCCCGTGGGGGAGACAGGTGGTGCACGGAGCTGAGGGCTGTATGAAGGGACAGGCAAGGCCCAGCTGGGCAGTTCTGTGCCCGAACGGGGAGGTGACCCAGGGAAGCAGACAGGCAGAGCTTTGGGGGGCAAAGGAGCAGCTGGTAGGAGGGGTCTGGGGTTCATGGGACCCTGGAAGACAGAAGCCACAGTGTAGGGTCACCACAAGGTAGGGAGGTGGGGGGAAGTCAAGGGCCCCAGGGTCGAGTGCCGTTTCTCATCAGCTGTGTGAACCGGGGCAGGTCAGGGGACCTCTGTAAGTGGTTTCCTCATCCGTCAAATGGGCGTTAATCCTCCCTTCCTCATAGGATTATTGTGACACGGGATGGGAGGTACGAGGCACGGGGTGCGGCCCACGGCAAGCCCTCGGTAAGAGGAAGGCTTGTCAGAGGCAGTAAGTCGGGAGCCCGGGCTGCAGTCGGATAGAACAGTTTCAGATCCCCACTCTACTACCTGATAGGTGTGGGATGAGAAAGTTCATCAACCTCGCCGAGTCTCAGTGTCTTCACGTCTAAAGTAGGAGTAAGCCACAGCTACCAAAGCTTCTGCATTTGTTGCGGGAATTCAGTGAGGAGCCGTTAGCACAGGCTCAGCTGGCACGTAAGAAACATTGCCTGCCTTCCAGCCGGGGGGCCCTCAGCTTTCCAGAGGCATTGCTCATCAAGGACCTGCTAACGTATGCAAGGCCCTAACCTATGCCAGACCCCCTTCTATCCCTTCTCTCAGTTCTCCTCGCAACAAGCCCGTGAGGTGGGTGCTGTTATCACCACCCCTTTCACAGATGAGGAAGCCGAGGCAGAGAGAGGTGCGGACCCACGGCTAGTAAGTGGGGGAGCTGGGATTTCCAAGCGGCAAAATCTTTGGAGGCTCTCTGCTTTCTGAAGCTCTGTCCAACCTCTGCAAAGAGCCATCTGTGGCAGGAGCCAGGGCAGAGAGGTAGGCTTCAGACCTTTGCCTGAAAAGTACCAGCTGCTGGGACTCTGGGACTGTTGTCACTCTTCTCCCCGCCGGCCCCTGCTGAAAGGAACGCCCAGCGGGGACTTTGGAGACTTGGAAGGGAGGGAGCTGGAGCTCAGAGTGGGAAGGCTCCTGAAGAGCTTTGCCTTGGCATCATTTCCTAGGCCCCAGGAAATCGGGCTCCTGTGGAAGGCCGGTAGAGAGGCTGTAATGGGTAAAGGGCATGAACTTGGGCTGCGCTTGATTCCCACTCTGCCACTTGCTACTGTGTGCCCTGGACAAGCGTCTTGGCCTCTCTATGTCTCAGTCCCCCTATCTGTAAAATGGGAATGATGGTAACAGAACCAGCCCCATAGGTTGTCGGGAGGGCTACGTTCACCCATGTGCATTATGTCAGTACTTGCTTTGTTTTCGTCTTTATCCTTATGGTTATTCCTTCGAGGCCGGGGGAGGGGGCTTCAGGAAGTACCTCTGTGTCCCTGAACTCCACTTTCCAACTCAACAGTGAGAATACTAATACCTGCCCTGCGTTCTTCCCAGCGTGTTGAGTGGCTGGGAGGAGAGAGCTGGTAGGGGAGCACTCCTAGATCGTGGAATTCAATATAAACGGAAGGGAGTGGTGTTGTCACCATTATTAGTAATAACTATAATTATTATGGAAATTAGTCAGCAGGCCCCAGAGGCATCTCCATTTATCAGCTCCCCCACTCCTGCTCTGTGAGTGGGGCTCTGGAACGCGGGGCCCCCGGTGGGTTCCGAGCCTGTCATTTGCAGAGGCCGGCGGGGCTGCGGGGGAAGAGGGGGTCACACGGAGAGCGGAGGCCACATGTGGAAGTGAGCTGGGCTGGTGCCAGCCTCCTCAGTCACAGCATCTCCAGCATCCAGAGCTTTGGAGAGCGTTTGCAAGGGGGTGGATCAGAAAAACCCAGCAGCAACCAGACCTCTGTAAGCTGACCCTCAGCTGGGGAAAAGAGGGGGCCTCGTCTGTGGCCTCCGTGCAGCCCAGTATCCATCAAGGCGCGGGCCCTGACGGGACATGCAGGGGACCTTGTTAAACCCGATTCCCTACAATTGATGAGCCTATAAATCCTAGCTTGGTGCCATTTTTAATAACATCATAACCATTTATTAGTGTCGTCAGATAATTAGTCTTCTCGCTAGCTCATAGATAGCGTGGTAAAGGCTTGGCAATATTATTACTTTCTTATTAGGGATCTGAACGTAGACGTAAAAGTGATGAATGCCTGCCTTTGCAAGAATCTGACCCCCGAGGCCCATTTGGAGGCCCCAGGTGGAGCCTCTGACCAGCAAGACTTCAGTCCTCCTCTGACACTCTGCTCACCTCTGTCCCATGCCACACGGCCTTCCAGGGAGCCAGGGTTATGGGGGAAGATGGCATGTGCGGGGTGCGACCCCCTCCTGCTGACATGCTCCCCTCCCCCAGCCCTGCCCCCTCCCCCAGGGCCAGCAACAGACAGGATAGGACAGAGCCTGATTTCTCCATCCATCACCCCAGCTCTCCCAGACCGTCGCTCTCTCCAGTTTCACTGCCCGCTATCTGTCATTTCCTCTTTCTTGAAGGTCTTCTGCTCCCGTCTATGCCTTAAATTGCTCCCGGGTGTTTTAACGACTCTGGAATCCGAGAGAGGTGACTTCAGATTCCGAGTCTAGCACATATTCAACATCTCTGGCCTCCGTTTCCACATCTGTAAAATGGGAATAAAAAAAAAAAAAAAAAAAAAAAAAAAAAAAAAAAAAAAAAAAAAAGCCTTTTCTCCCCGAGTCTGTAGGAGGATTTAATGAGATACAGCCCAAAGTTGCTTAGCAGAGTGCCCGGCGCTCCGTAAATGGGGCAGCAGCTGGGAGCTGTCCTGCTCGTCAGCGTTCCTACGGGGACAGGCCTGCTGTCTAAAGTGTGCACATGGAAGAACATGATGGTGGTGGCAGGGGCCTGCCCCTCAGCTGTGGTCATCCTGGTGGGCCACAGTGATCCCGGATCTGATAGCCTCTGGATCCAAATAGCCTCAGGAAACTGACTCACACCGATTAGACTCACGCGGAACTGAGGCCCACACGAAGGCATCAGCCCCTTACTTCACTTGGGGCATTGGCCTTTCCGGCCATCCAGAGCTTCTGTCCCGGCACCCGGTGTCCAGGATCGTGCTGGAGAGTGGAAACAGAGCTCTCAGAGTGTGGAGAGTCTGAATCCGAGAAGAGAGGCTGCTGCTGGAGAAGGGGGCAAGAGACGAGTCTTGAAGAGTCTTGAGTGCTAAACGGAGGGATTTGATTTCCATCCTGAGAGCTACAGGGCACGGCTGGAAGAGGTAGAGTGAGGGGGTCACGTGAGATTGGTACTGGAGGCCGTGACTGCGACCTGGGTGAAGGCAAGCATGGAAAAGGAGGGAGGTGGGTGGCATAGGATGGAGATGAGGAGGTAGCATCGAGAAGATTGGCGGATGGTTGGGTGAAGGAGGTGAGGGACAGGGAGGAGTTCTGCACCAGGACGGGGTGTGAATTTCTAGCTGGGAAGGTGGCAATGTCTTCCCTAAGTGAGGAGCCTCTTGGCAAAATAGAGGACTGCGGGAGGTACAGAGATCATTCTGGGGTTGGGGTCCCAGCAGGTGGCTGGCCAGATGGCTGGGCCCTCAGAGGACAGAACAAGGCGGGAGGCTAAGTTTTGGGGGTCATCAGCACAGCCTCGGCGGGTGAGGGGGAACCTCAGGAGACAGTCAGAGGCGGGACCGCTGGGCAGAGGAGAGATGGCAACCTGGGCAGGACCTAAACAGCACGGAAGTGTAAGGAGAGAGGAAAAGGAGGACTCTATAAGACCCCGGAGCTGGGGCGCCCGGGCGGCTCAGTCGGTTAAGCGTCCGACTTCGGCTCAGGTCATGACCTCGCGGTTTGTGGGTTCGAGCCCCGCATCGGGCTCTGTGCCGACAGCTCGGAGCCTGGAGCCTGCTTCGGATTCTGTGTCTCCCTCTCTCTCTGCCCCTCCCTTGCTTGCGCTCTGTCTCTCTGTCTCCCCAAAACAAATAAATATTTATAAAAAAAAAAAAAAAAAAAAAAAAAAGAAAAAAGATGCCCGAGCTGCCAGAGAGGAAGAAGGAGAACCAGGGGAGCACGGGTGGCAGGGGCCAAAGGCAGAGAGGCTGCTGGAAAAGCATGGACACACTGAGATCTCCTGAGGGTGCACGGTCAGCCCTCCGCGTGGGCTTCCTGCACGCTTCTGGCCTGACTTCCTGCAAACTCTTCTCAGAGACCCAGAAATCCTGTCCTGGCTGCCTTTCTCAGCCCTGGAATCGGAGGGGATGGGTGGGGCAGAGAAGAAGCAGAGCCTGGCCTTGAGGGAACGCGTAAATGCCCTCCAGGCCACAGGGAGCCGTCGGTTCTCTTCTCTCTAAGTCCTTCCGTCTCCCTACAGCAGATAAGGAGATTTCCCCGGCTCACGGATGGGGCTGGACCAAGATGGGGGATAGAACCAGATGGAGACAAGGAGCAGTCATGGGTAGCCCCGGCCTGTCGTCTCTGCCCTCGTGAAAGAAATAGCACTGCCCGGACAGCCCCTGTGCCCCCCTGTAGTGCTGAGTGCAGAGCGAAGAGGAGGGCATA